CGATTAGTCGACTAATCGAAAAAATAATCGGTGATTAATCGATTACAAAAATAATCATTTGTGGCAGCCCTATTTGTAACCATCGGAGGAGTGGGAGTACCTGGGAGGATTCGGCCCAACAGGGCATCCATAAGCCAGAAGGATTTCTCTTCATCTTTGGTGATGATCATGAGGTAACCAGCGATGAAATTCATTCCCTGAAAAACATCAAATCAATCAAAAAAAATGATACAAAACTACTTGGATCACTGAGTTTGTGAACAAGAACAACTAAAAGGTACAAAACTCTTTAGTTTATAGTCAAACTAAGAGACACAAATATCTGTAAGTTATGTTTTTTTATTGATATGATTCAATAAAAATTAAAAGTTAATCTAATTTTAAGTTGCTGGAAAGACAACAAACATGAAAACTTTTACTCAAAATCAGAATGCTACAGCTGAGAAACTAAATTCTCCTTTTAACACTGAAGAAACCAGTGTTGTTTAGGCTCATCTGTGTGTGTTTTATGTGTGTGTGTCTGTCATGTTATCAAAATAACTCATAAAAGACAGAATGGATTTTAATGAAACCTTCAGGAAATAACCATTTGATGCACATTTGCARCTGATCAACTTTTGGAGTTCAAACGAGCTTGGTGAACACAAACGAACTAAGTCCAGTTTGACGAATAATGAGCTATAATTTGATGAGGCAGTAGCTGAGAGTCATTCACAACACAAACGCTGAGCTCTAACAGATGGTGCAACACTACTGTTTCAAACGTTGTTCATCGATAATAATCCTGCATTATCTCATGAGAGCATGTATCACTTTGTTTACAAAAACTGACCCAAACTCTTGTGACTCCGCCCCTTTATCAATCTGGTGAAAGACAGCAGGCGGCAAGCGTTCCTTCAAAGGTCTTTAATTATTTTTTAATCATTTTGAAGTTAAATTTATAAAACTATTAGACAACTATTAGTTCCTGACAATTCCCTGCTGTTCTTCAGATCTTTACAAACTGAGTTGTGTCTCATAACCAAACTATTCCTTGACTGAAAACAACACATTGGTAGTTAGAAGAAGGATAATGTGACTAGATTTATTCTTTAAAGAAAAAAGCCAGTTGGTACAGAWAATCTTAAGAAGCTAAAGGAAACAACTGAAGTGGAAACTTCTCAGTATATTTAAAAACCCACAACAGACCACAGGTGAGTTTAGTGTAAGGCACAGAGGCACGCCTCGATGAATGTAAATACTGAGGGTGTGTCCCAAGATGCAAACTACCGGTCATGAACAGGAAGTCCAGATCAGACCTGGATTTAAAGCATCTTTCTTCACAAGTTGCTCAATTTAAAAAAAATCTTCAAAAATATTCAAACAAACTGGTACCAGAAAGATTAGAACAGCATGCTGAGGGGAAAAGGCTTATTATCCAAAGCAACAAATAATAAATCAAGCACGCTGAAGAGAGTCAGTAGACATGCTGCTGACAGTGGAGCTGAAAGTTYAGGTGTTATAACAGATTTAATTTCATTGTGTCCAAAAAACCCACTTGGAGCAGAAGAYTGGTTCTTTGCTGAAGCAGAAAAAGACCCAAAACACAAAGAAATCAACACCTTTTAAATACGACCTGGAAACAATTATTCTAAGTGAACATTTCACACGTTTTAAAAGATGTAAATTWGCAGCAGGTAGCTGTAAAATTAAAAAGATAGTAAGTGAATTGTTGCTGTTTAAAGCTCAAACATTTCAGAGTGGTTTCTGAAGATGCTTTTGTTTTATAAACCTTTACAGCACTGTTAATTTCACCTTACTCTTTTTTTCTGGCAAAAATAGTAAGCACTTTCAGACTGCTGAGGACCATTTCACACTCCTGTTTGAGGTAAATATTATATCTTCACCTTCATCTTCTAAGGAAAATCTATAGTCGGGTCCAGGGCCGGCACTAGCCAATTTGAAGCTCTAAGATTTCAGGTGGTGCCCCTTGAGTAGTTGTCTAAACCTCACTGTCAGTTTATATACATTCACATACCAAATTAAATAGTTTTGTCTTCCATATTTTTTATATTTGTAAACCAGGTTGTCCAATTAAAATAGTAAACAATGTAATTCATTTGAAACAGAAAACCAGAAGTCTACCTCATACCTGCCAACATCTGCTGACATCACAAAGAACACCTGTTCTTGTTAACGAGCAGCYGTGGAATGAYGCAGTTCTAGGGGGTCCAGGGGTATACCCCTCTGGAAATTTTTGTTAAAAAATCTCTTCAAAACTCTGCATCCATTTGAAGAGCATTTTACTAAATCCTTGGGATTAATAAAATAAAATAAAATGAGTATTTTATGAATCTAGAACTTTGAAAATCAGATTTTAACCTGATTTTTATCAGAGATCAGGTGAAACTTCCATTCTCCTCATTTTGTTTTTGCTTYACACACTGAGCACCAGTAGTTAGTTTTGACTGAATCATACAATTCTTTTATCACTAAATATCCTCTGCACCATAWAACATGACCTGTACAGAAAGCAGGCTGAGAAACACACAGAGCCCCCATTTGTGGTGACCCCTAGATGAAAGGTGGCCTTAGCATTTGCCTATACTGCCTATGGCAACAGACCCCCAGACATCCCTCTCCCCAGTGACACACTCCAACTCCTCCTAAGATCCCCTAGAGAAGATAAATAATCCTTCTAGCAAGTTCTTAGTCTTCCCAGGGGTCTCTTCCCTAATCAGATGCTTGAAACACCTCAGTGRACTCCTATCGATGTGGAGGAGCAGATACACTGAGCTCCCTTCTGGATGATGGTGCTCCTCATCTTATCTCTGAAGCTGAGTCTGGTCACCTTAYGAAGGAAGTTCATTTTTACTGTTTGTATCTTGGATCTGGGTCTTTCTCTGATGATCCAAACCTTATGATGGTTGGAATTTAGATGGACCCAGTAAATCGAGAGCTTTTGACTCAACTCTGTCTTCACCATGACTGACTGAAGCAACGCCCTCATTACTAAGGTCCTGATTTGTTTTTCTATTTCCCGCTCCACCCTCATCCATGACCATCACTTACAAACAAAACGCTTTAAAACTCCTCCACCTGAAGCAAAGACTCCCCGCTGACCTGGAGAGGGCAGTCCACCAGTTTCAGGTGAAGGACCATGGCCTTGGACTGACTCTCATCCCAGCTACTCCATACTTGGCTGTGAACCGCTCCAGTGCTGACTGAAGGTCATGGCCCAAAGAGGTCATCAGAACCACATCATCAGCATAAAGCAGATGGAGTAATACATGATTCTGCAAAAATCAATACCTGACAAAAAATATGTTTTTTTTGTACCCCATCACCGAGGTGAGGGACAGTTTAAAAAAGCTGTAACTTTCACATAGAAAGACTAAAATACACCAAACCTGGTAGGAGTCATCCATGTTGTGTGCCAGACCATACCATGTGGTCATATGACATCATCAAAGCCCCASCCCCTGACAACAGGAAGTGATGTTTTTTGGCTTGGAAAGCTCTGTCTCTGACCCTCTTGACCTAATCAGCCACAAATTGTGTCAGAACACAGATAAGAACTTGAACTCACTTAATTTCAAACACAAAGACTTTTATAAAAAGGCGTGGTCATGGCGGTGCGGCAAAGGCAGACATAACGCCGTTGACATATATTTGGCTCTAAATTCCACATATTTCAGCCAATCTGCTCTGAATTTGCCAGGGTCARTCCCAATCCTCCCCACTACAGGAGTGCAGAACAATTTTTGGAGGGCGTGGCCTAATGAGACATCAAGCTGTTGGCTCTAAATTACACAAACATGACCCGATCTGAACCAAGTTTTGTATGCGTCATAAGGTAAGACCTGTTCAACACATTTGTGCAGTAGCTTGACAAGATCCCCTTAGCCTCCCATCCATCCATCTGTTCACCTTATGAGATTATTTAAATAATGAAGGCCTGCTATAGGATCAAATATGAAGAGAAGCAAGAGAAGAGTGAATCTTTTCTCCACCTGACAGTAGCCCACGGTCTGATTATGGTGCCCGTACGCCAGCAGCACGTTGAACAGAGCTTTCTGCAGGCCTTCCTCTGCTCGACTCTTAAAGAGGATGTTGTCRGGAAAGGTCCGGTGCATGTCTACCCTCCCCCCCAAAAAATGACAATTACTGATAGTTTTRCTTGAAAATATGGAGGTTTTTGTGATGCTGAGTTGAGGGGACAGTTTGATCCCACCTGTGTGAATGGTTTCCTTCAGCTTGGCGTCGTGCTCCGTCTCCAGCAGAGACTGGTAATAACCAGGTTTATTCTCCAGGTGTTCCTGAGCGCCACTCGCTGCCATCCAGATCATGGCCCGATGCTCGTTAGGCACACCTTTACGCACATACCTCTTCACTATCACAACAGATTTTTAAAGTCAGACCCTTCAGATTAACAAAATTATAAAGTCAGTGTTTAAAACGTGGATTTATTTGCACCTGTTAAGTTCTTCTCAACATTGGGTTTGTCCTGAAGGAGCTTGGACCACCTCTTTGACCTTCTGTTGAGTACAGCCAGGTACTCGTTCATCATCTCCTTATACGGCTCGAAATCGTCTCGTCTCTCAAAGCCATAGGGATCAATCCTGTTGGGGGGGAAACAAAACAAAACATAACAATCCTTCTCAAATACATGCATTAAAGCTGACCCGTTACAGCTGCCTCCACTAGCTGCTGCTCCTGTGTGGAGGTGATCAAATGCCCCGACTGAATAATAAGCTCTGCATCAAATTACGCTGGGGGTGGAATCATAGATGTGTCTGTATTTTTCCATAAACAACAAAGCTTTTTTTTTTAATGGCAGCGAGTTTTACACTAAATTAAACAGAGAGCTGAAAAAAGGAAACTGATRCAAATAAAAGGCCAGCTGTGAGGCAGCAACAGGCCTTCTCTATAGCTGAACTAAACAGAACAAAGTCCCTGTCTCCTAAAAGACTAAAAGTACATTCAGAGTTTACCTTTGGCTGTCGTTTGGACTCGCCTGAGTGCCACCTTTCATGTCTCGCTCCATTTTGTCTCATGTGGTGAAGCTGTCCACCTGAGGCTGCAAACAACAAGGTTATTTCATCCTGACGGGCTGAAGAGGAACCGGCTGCTGCGAGGGTAAACAGCGAAAGCAGCCCGAGTTTAGTGTCTCACCTTACAGAGGAGGGGAGGAGCCAGCTGGACAGGTACCGTCCACAGGTGTGTGCCTTTATTTGCACATAAAACAATTGGAGGAAGAGAAGCAGAAGCTGTAAATATCACAGCATGTGATGAGAAATAGGAGCAGATCTAGTGGCAGGAGCTGTAACCAGGGAATAATCTTAAAAAAAGGTTTTAAGTTCACAAACTGTGTTCCACGGACAGATTTGACTTCATGCACAGGATTTTTTTTTCATTTTTAATATAAAACAGAACATTTCTTCAGCAAAAGTTTAAAAAATGTCACTGATATGTGTTTAGAAACTTTTTTCTGTCACCATAAATATTGCAGCCTTTCTTTATAAAGGAAGTTGTGTTAAATGTCACCGTAAACAAAACAAAATGCAGAAATTTGCAAATTATTACATTCAGTTGAAAACAGGACAACAAAACATGTAAGATGTAGATTTTAAAATGTTTTGTCATCTAGAATTAGTTGATTATGATAAACTTGACAGAACCTAAAAATTATACTTTAACTTAAATTCTAGCAGAAACATTAGGATGTTCCAGCAGAAATGTCTGTCTTTATTATATGTACATAAGTGTGTGATGAGAAATTGACAACAATGTTAGAAGATGACAGGATCCCACTTTAGTTTGKGTCTTTCTTGAACGAAGCCTTTAGTGCATTAATCTGGTTAGAAGTAACTTCTAGTCCTTCAAACTGATGTGAGCAATCTACAACAGGTAAGATATTAACTCTTTATTACCTCTCCATGGAACTTTCCCCCTAACAGCCCAATGTTTTTCCACAATGTGAGGAAAACATGTAATTGTCAAAGTCTAGGCCTGCGAAACAAATCTGGCCCTCATTAACATTTTATCTGGCCCTAAATGTAATAATAATTTAATAAAGTTTTATAATTTCTATTTTTTCACTGTATTTAATGAAGTCATCTCAATACAGTAGTCAACTTTATTTTTTCTGTATTCTGAATTTTTGGTGTTTTTTTCTATTTAACTGATTTGTTAGATTGTGATCAAATGCATTTCTAATACATATTAAATAATAAAGTTGTTCATAGAGTAAGACATATAAAATGAAAGCCAATGATGTCTTTCTAATTTTGATAAGTTTTTTTTTTTGTTAGGTTATGTATGTCCTAAATGCTACATAAAATATAATTTAGAAAAAATTTGGACTTCTTGTGTTCTTCTGACCTTGAGTGACACCCATGTTGTAGAATATCACTTGCAATAATCCCACATGTTCTGTTACAATAATTACACTAAGTAAATCCTAGGGCTGAGCGATATGACCCGAAAAAAAAAATCAGATTTTTTTCATCCCAAATTCGGTTTTCGATTTTAATCAATTTTGTTTCCCACTTAAAGGAGTGCTTCTGTTTCAGGTGTCGAAACAGATATGTTGTACTCCAACTTTTTGTAGCAAGATCCTTCAAACAGATTTTACAGTGAGGTGTTCGTTGATCCAAGTCTGAGGTTGTGAAACCACTTCCAGAAAACTGAAGAAACATTTGATCCTCTTTGCTAGCTGCCATATTGTCATGTCATGTTCCACGCGTCTTGAGGGACAGCTGGGGTGACCTCTGAACTCCAGAAGCCCCAAAGAGGACTGGTGGGAAAAAAAATCAATTTTCCCAAAATTAAAACTTTTTAAATAACAAATTTGAATTAATCGATTAAATCGATTTATCGCCCAGCCCTAGTAGGTCCGATTGACCAAATTCATATTTTGGCATGCAGTTCACAGCTCAGATTTAATCTAATCTTTCAGGCTGTTGACATATTTTAGATTTATTGTGCAGCTCTAATCCAWATTGTTTCATTAAGACCGTCAGCACCCAGTTGCTGTCAAATTATCAATAAACAAACATAAAAATGCTTTGTTTTAAAATAAGACAAAAAAGTGTCCAAAACATCAAAGTGTAATTTTTGCATGACCAGTTTAGCAAGTYTTAACCAACAAATCAATACATTGATTTAAAATGAGCAGTCGGCTTAGGTTAATCAGTCTTTCGGTCAGTGTCCAATAAACCTTTTATTTTAGAATAAAATTAAGCATCAACCAGATATATAATCGTAAACACAAAGATAAATCAGTGGCACAAAATCTGCTGTGAAATAACTTCCAGCTCATTTCTGGTAAAAGGAAAAAAAACCTTTTCACCATTCGGTTTGATAAAATCCACTCGTAGCAGCCGGACTCTGGGACATCGAGTGTTGGCAACAAACAAGATCAAAACATCTGCGATTATGGAAAAACTCATGCTTTATTCACCTTTCTCAGATGAGCGATATACTTATGCTACTTACATGATGTATGAACAGTAAAAGTCTGACGTTGGCTTCCTTCAGTAACACTGAACAGACAGGGTGGAACAGAAGCGTGAATATTAAACAGACAGGTTTTTAATCTTAAGGCTTCATCTGTTGACCCACTTCAAGTGTCCCGACTGAGCTGTCGACTCCTCTCCGCTGTAACATACACGTGTGCACCATGCAGTCTCAAAAATTGGTCATCGCTTTCATTTTAAAGTGGAATTAAATGCTGTCACTTGTGTGTGGGGGAAATAAATCTTCAAGGGGGGGGGGGGATTACCTGATTAAAAAAATACTAGACATTTTTTTTAAAGAAACAGTGGAAATGACTTTACTATATTACATTTACAACCACTCCCAACTGAGATTATTCAGACAAATGAGTACAACAAATCAATATCGATTAGCTAAATTAAAGCACGGCCTGTCGTTCAGTGAAAGTGGATTTCTGAAACCAGTCCGAGGTGACGTAAAACGAGTTTTAACATGCTTTCGATGAGATGCTCACAACTCCACCAAACAATTAAACCAACAGCATTTCATCCACGATATTGAGGCATCCCCATTAGAGAGCTTAGCATTTACTGTACATAAAACAATCATCTTTTTGCATTTATAAACTGAACATATTTATATTATTCTTCTTATAGCTCTCTTTGTAAACTGTCCCATTTAGATACAGTATGTACAGTTAAAAACTGCAACAGTTCTGTTGGTGCTGGTGTCGTGAGCACTCTGTCCCGAGGTTGAAGTAAGACATGGGATGTTTGCACAGTCACTCAGAGCTTCGATTAATCAAAGATGACTAGGAAGAATCTTAAAAACACACAGCTTTCCTCTGTCCAGTCCATTCAGAGCAGACGCAGCAAGTGAACCTCCTCTCAGAGCCGGGTTCCACGCCACCACCCYCTTTTTTTTGTGTGTTCCTCCTGGAGCAGAGCGCAGGGGTGAAGGGGAGGGCGAGGGGTGGGCGTCCAGGGTACCGAGAATCTGGCGATGTCCATACGATGCCTCAGACTCAAGAGGACAGAAAACGTGGCCAGGTGTTCTCGCAGTTTATTTTCTCCCCCACCCCAGCTCCCTGAACGACGGCCTCCTGACAGTTTCAAGTGCTTCTGTTTCCTGTCTGAAGTCTACAGTTTTCACTTTTTATTGTACAAGTTAAAAAAAAAGAAAAGAAACAAAAATCAAAACAAAAAAAGAACAAAAAGAAAAGAAAAACTATGAAGTCGCTGTAAAAGAATCAATGTTCTGGTGTTCCAGAGTTGGGACTGGATTTAGAGAGTTTTACGTTTTGATCCTGTAACRATCGGTCGAGCAAATTCCACAAAATCATCTATAAGGACAGGCCACGCACCTGAAGGGGGACAAAACGTGTCATTAGTGTCTCACAAGGACAGCAAGAAGAGAAGAGACGCTTCACACATTTTGTTTTTACGCACCTTCCTCATCATAGTTTGACATGTCGTCTGCAATCATGTTACCAAAGTCCAACAATAAGTTCCACGTATCCTTTGGGATGGATCGTTTATGATGTTCCTGTAAAGAGAAACATGGTGAACATACAGCTTGGATGGATCTTCTCTTGCTCAGTTGTTTTCTGTGTATCCACTTTGTCAGGTCCTGGATGACTGAGAATCAACATGAAGGCAAGTTTAAAGGAGCTCTGCAGAGTCTGGCWCGTTTTTGCTCATGAACTCCCCCTGCAGTCCTGGAACCCCACTCTTGATAAAACAAACCTTTATCTGAGCCTGTTTACAGACACAAATAACAGGTAAAATGACATTAAGTTTGGGACTTTAATAATTGATTGGAACTGTTCATTTTTCCAGTCTGGAAAACTTACTCAACAACAGTTGGATTATTTTTAAAAGCAAAAAAACAGGCCCACAAGTCTGAATGTATAGTGAATTTTCTATAATTCACAAAGTGTCAAAAATCTCTTTATATAGGTTCAAAGAAGTCCAAATCCCCCACCTATATTTAGTTAAAGTTATTTTAGCAAGCTGAAGCTCAATCTTGGGCTTTCTGAATCCATCAGCAAGTTTCTGGTAAAATCCAAGATGGATATTTGATCACCCTTCTTGACATAAAYAGTAGAGGTCACCTAAAATACCTGGACTAGGGCTGCACAATATATCACAAATTTATCATCATCACGATAACAGCCCGTGCAGGAGGCATATCACAAAAAAAACTGCATAACCTGCAATAAATGATTGTCTCAAATGTTTGCATGGACCCGAGATACCACAGGAAATCATTGGAGAAAATGGAAATGAGAGAATATGTAGTTAGATTTAGGTGAGGTTTACTTTTATTTTAAATTAACTTACTTTCAGATGTTGTTACTATTTTTTTAAAAATCATGCTAGTAAGGTGGCATTTTTCAGTATTTAGAGCATCAGAAAATATTTAATGGAGGCAATGATTTAGTCACTAAAAAACTATTTCATGCAGTTTGTGGTTTCACTTCTCATATAATATAATAC